CTTTAGAACGTGCTGGCTCTATTGTTCTTGCACATTAGCATTTAAGGATTCCAATTAGCATATAAGAATCGGGGTTTGTGAAATCATTCTAGTGATACAATACAATGCAATACAATACAATTCAATTCAATACAATTCAATGCAATGCAATGCAATGCAAGATGTGATAAAATTCATAATTTCAATTTTCTGTTGGTGTAATTGAGTATTTTTGGTTGGTGTGAAAGCAGCCCGGGTCATACCACATCTTGTTATGCAGCGAGTCTTCGAGTGAGAGGCGAAAACTTAATTACCTGTTGTTCGTTTTTCACCTTCTCCTCGCAGTATTATTGAGTAATTTTTGTTTCATTTTGTAGTTCAGAGCCTTCCGCAAGAATTTCACAATCAGCATTTGGCCACTACGTTTCCTGCACTTCAAGCTCAAACCAAAAAAATTTCTACGCACGAGAGAGAAATTCTAGTTGATAGCACAAAAGCAGAAACAGTACATAAATCACGCAACGATGCGGTGAATATTACGATAAAAGCTATTCCATTGCCTTCTTCAAATGAAACCGTACGGGATTTCATAACGGGAGCCACTTCAGCACAGGATAAATCTGTTTTGACAAGAGATGGTTTGGAAAATACCACAGCTGCCTTCAAGAAACAGGATTTCAGTAACGACGAAAGTGTACCAGAATTTAACTGTAAACAACTTAAAAACAGGACATCGGTGAGTGAACTTGGTTTTTTTGCACGTTCGAGAAAATCAAAAACTTTTTTTCAACATCAAATTGACGAGTTCATTTTGGTCATAGTATGTTTTAGTTTTTTCTCTTCGCTTTATGTTCTGAGCTGAAAGCCAACGGCTTCATTGATTGCGTCTATTTATCTAGATTCAAAAATACACTTGAGTGTCGCACAACCAAATCCAAGAAATCCCTCTAGCTAATGACAAAAGACAAAAACAATACAGTGAACCAATCAAAACGCCAAGTACTCGTAACATGTAGCTGACGCGAAGCGCGGGAAAATGTGTGCGAACGAGTCACGATTGGTTTTACTTTTGATTGGTTGAAAAAGTGGCGCGAGCTTTTTAAGCCAATTGTGTAGCGTAGTGATGAAAACCGATTACTTTTCGATACTCAAATGAAAACCGGACTATATGATAGTTGTTAACGATATTCAAGTGTGTTTTTCAGGTGAATGGTAATCTTAATCTGCATGAGTGGCACGGATGGTGTGGATACGCTGTTGATGATCTCAGAAGAGAACCTCTATTTCCTTTTAAACCACACGTATGTAACTTGCAGTTAGTAAGAGTAAAAAAAAAGAAAAACAAACACTCTCTCGACATGTCAGTGGGTACAAATTACGGATGTTCTCCTTTTGGACAATCCGGATCAAAACTTATGATCCAAAATCACTCAAACGAAACGATGCACCTTTGAATTTGTGGAACGATACTTTCCCTTGATGCACCATGATCTGAGTGGTCTTGGATCATAAGTTCTGATCCGGATTGTCCAAAAGGAACGCGCCAGGCTGGGAAACATATAAACTGTCATTATCTTCTGTTCAGAACATAACTGATCTTTTCGGCCGGGTCATCAAATGAACACGATCAGCTTTTATTATATTTTATTAACCGAGTGTGAGGGCTGTACTGGGAATGGTTCATTCCTAGTTTGTGACCAGTTGTATCGAGCGTAAAGAAACCTGTGCATTTCTATTACGGTCCCGAGAAAACCTGGTTAATATGAGACTTATTTCACAAAATAACTGAAAAGGAGAAGTAGAAGCCTTGCGAGGTCCAATACTTACAAAATATTGGACCAGCGATAAGGCACTCTGATTGGTTGATTATCTTGATTAAAATCCTGTAAAATACAAGTAAAATCATCGAGAAATAATATGTTTATTGTATAGTTTATAATATGATGGAGTGCGCGAAGCAGCCAATCTATGCACGCTACATAAAACCTACTGGCAACATTTAAATCTTTGATTGGAAATTTTCCATTAACTAACTTATTACCCTAAATGCCTATCAGGTTAACGATGTTCTAAGCAAGTTTGAAACAAATGTAACAAAAAGAACATTCAATGGAAGACGGATTTTTGGTTACGTTCATCCCACGACTACAGGTAAAATGCTGTAGCTTTAAAGTTCAACTGTAAGTTACTTGCAATTATTTGCATTCCTGTTATTGCTCTAACTAGATGGATGTTGTTTTCAGCAAAGACAGAAAGATTATATTTCATTCATTTGACTTTCTGACGACGGATAGCTTCTCCCAGAGGGGAACTCCCAAATAAAAAGGACAGGGGTGGTCGTCGGAAATATTGAAAAGAATCCCTAAGAGGTAACAAGATCCTGTTTTGTGGGCGTGGCTTGAAAATGATCCCCCTCCCTAACAGGTGCCAATTCTAAAACAACAAATTACTTCCTGTCATATTTTTTCAGCTCAATACCCTAAAAGGTACTGCAAAAGCTCTCGCTGTGAACCTTTTGAGGCTGAGCGCCTAAAGAGGTTCCAAAACCGCGTTAACCCCTTAAGGGTACGATGAGCACCCCCCGTCCTTTTCAGGGGCCGGCTTTCTCAGTCAGTCTTGCTCTCAATTTTTTCAGGTGATTTTGTTTTCGCCATTAGTTCCGCGGATGGTTCAGAACTCTGGTTGAGTACGGACGACGATCCAAAACACTCCAGAAAAATCGCGTATCTTGGAGATGTAAGACTTCCACATTATTAAAAGTTATATGGCAGACACATTGCCTGAAGGACATGCCAAAAAATAATTAAAAATAAATGTTAATCCATTATCAAATGACAAGCGATTTGCCTAAAACGCCCAGTGAAAACGAGAGAATCTTGGACTGATGTTGAGAATGTTCTTCTCAAAGTGATATCTATATTTCAAAAATTAGCGTTCCCGGGTTTTTGTAGCAAATAAATGTTAACTCCGAAATTTATTTTGATGTTTAGCATCTTAGCCGAGATTTCCTGCCTGAAGTGGGTTCTTGTCCGCCACCGAAAATATTTGAAAAATAGTAACTATTTATCACCGTAAAATGTGAATTTTTTTAATTCTCGTAGTCTTTATTAAGTGTCTATATTACCTCATTCATCTATGAAGATGTAGATGTAACGTCATAAACAAAGCTAAAGCTATATTTGCTCCTGTTTTACAGCCTGGTAATCAATATGGCGCTACCACTAAGTTTGCACAGTTTACCTCACGGAAGGACCAAATCTCTGAAAATATCAGGTAAATATAATTGAACGATATGACCTGGGTTCGTGGCTTTGAAGAAGCTCTATTTTTAAGCTAGTCTTGATCTCTGTCTGACATGTGGGAAAATGCTATTTTTGATATTTTTTGCTATCTTGCAGATTAGAGGCAGGGAAAGCTTATTATGTTGAAGTTCTTCAAAAGCAAAAATACAACCAAGACCACGTGGAAGTTGCGGTGATTTTTTTCCCGATATAATTTCATACATTACTCTTGTATACACTATGTTCCCAGCTCAGTTCGACAGACAAGATGATGCACTCACCCCTCGCCCGTTTTCGTCTCTGAGGTTGCTAAGCAACATGGCAAGCCATGCGGACGTAGCAATCTTCGGAATGTATTCGGAAGTACTCGGACTAGTTAAATTGAGATTGGACGATAAAAATTAGACCAGCGATAAGATAGGTCCGTAACGCAATTGAAGAATTTCGAGTTGCTCTTAAAATAACTTGGAGACAAGGTACCGTCGTTGCTATGACTACTGCAAATAGTTAGATCCTCATGCGGTCTGCGGCGTGCAAGAGACTTCCTCAGGATCCTTTTCACTGTCAACATGTTTGTGAAGCGCCGTAAATAATTGGTGAAAAACGCACCATGTTATTATATATTTATTAAAAATAATATTAATACACATCGCTGCTCGAATTATTACACAGTGGAAAATGCCAGGAAAAGAAAAACTGGAGATTATCGAGTCACAATTCCTCTCTCAGTATATAGGTGAGTATCAGAATATTTAATGGAAACACTGATCTGAAAGGCTCAATGGGTTGAACCGTTAGTCGTAAAACGGACCAAAAATTCAACCGTTCGGAGCAACAATTGGAAAACTGTAACCATTAACCGTAAAAAAATGGCCGTAAAAAAATTTAGCCACGAAAGTGAAAGTCTCAAGATCTCTTGCCAAGACTTTTTTGTGCCTTGTCTTGTGGCTTAGTACCATTAGCCTTTTCCATCCAGGAATGATCCTCCCTTAAAGATTGGGAGGTTGAATGGTCCTGAGACCTTATATGTGCTTTACAGTAATCAAAATAAATTTTTAACTTCTTAAAACAATGTTGATTCAAAATTTCTAAGATGTCTAACAACAGCAAGGAAAAGAAATAAACCGTTTGGCCATAAAAGTGTCAAAGTATCGACCGTTAGCCGTTGAAGCCACTACCCCATTGAGATCTTCCGATCTCTTCATAATTGGGAATAAAAATAAAGAAAATAATCAACAAGAGGATGATTCTGATGATGATTGGCACCTCTCGACTAGACTAGTTTATTTAATGAAGTCCTGCATAGAAACTAAGCGCATTCAATTGATTTGAATATTTTGATTTACCAGATTATTCAGCAGACAAAGTGGAAATCAATGGTCGGGTTTTGTGCATCGGTAAAGATCACCCAACACTGCAATTCGCATATGACGAGGCAAGTCTTGATAAGACAACAGATCATATAATTACTTCGATGTTTGATAATGATCAGCCAATGATCACAATGGTGATGTTAGCTAGGGATGCAGTACTGTGATGAGGAGACAAATGCTACCAGAGAAAATCTTTTTTTACATTAAAGGCGAACAACACCTCATGCCAAGTTATTGCGCTCGGCTCTTGATCGAGCGGGTTGAGCTCTGGTTCAAGCTCTGGTAACATATAACTGATAAATACCACAGTAAGTATTCAGAGAACATCCATACAGTTGTAACTTTCGACAACATGAGAAGTTGCTTAGTCAAATTACAGATTGAAAGCTTCATCATAGAAATCTTTCCTGATGAAATTGTATTTCTTTGTTTTTAGTTCATGACCCGTGAGAAGTACGACATTAGGGACGACTTTCATGTTCGAGGTGAGACAGCGTTAATTTAGTATTGAAGTGTTCTCGGGACTCTCTAGGCATGCTAGTTTCCGAACAACGCGATGATTACTGCAATTATACTTTTTAAAAATTCCGTAAACTGCCGCTTATAAGCCCCCCCCCCCCTCCCTCGTTATAGGCCCATGTATCTGTAAACCAGAAAATATTCTCGGTTATAAGCCCCCGGATAAATGCCCCTCTCTAGCTTTGCCTGTTTTCAATTCGTTTTATTATGATGTTTTGGAGCTTAATTGCCAGTAAATGAGACAAAAAAGTACGTCGATCAACATGTGCAGCTATAGCTCGTTTTCGAAATAATTTTTTTATTCCGGTTGTAAGCCCCCTCGGATATAAGCCCCTCCGTTTATAAGCCCATCTAAAAGCCCTTATACGAAGTTGTGTAAGCCCAGGGATTATAAGCGGCAGTTCACGGTATGCGTTTAATAATTTAATGTAAACTATTTACCATATAACTCTACCAAACGTGAAATTATGTCGAGGACATGAATAAAACAACTAGAAAAGTTTCTTTCAGTGTAAATTACGAAGGTATAGAGTACCAAGGTCGAAGATTTTAGCACTGCTGTACTAATTGTGGACACTGAAACAAGCAAACAAATATTGTAAACTAAGCAGAAACTTGTTAAAAATCCCAACTGGCGGGAGGCTGACCAGTTGGCTATTTGCAAAGGGTGGAGGAGTTGAATCTGGGACCACTAGACACAAATCCATTTAGTGGCAGGGAGGAAGATTTGAACTCGGGACCTCACCACTAGGCCACGCCGCCTCCACCGTTCTTTGCCTTGCTTCCTTTTCTTGCGACCGATTGGGCCTGCCACTTCTTTAGACATGCAATATGCTAGAGCTGGTGTGGTTTACATACTTCTCCTCTCTGCAGTTGAAACTCTCCCTCACTCAGAAGTGTCAGATGTGTTACCATCATGTCCTTACAATCCATCTTTTCTGGTCTCACGAAAACTCAAAGAAAACGAGGCTTTTTCTGGAAACTTTGTAAGTATATAATAATTGAAATAATAAAAATAATATTTCCTGAGGGAACCCAACTCGCCATGGCGGTTTTCGTGCGGCCCTAAAGAAAAGTACACTTTTCTGAACGCTGTATAACTTTTCTAAATGCTGTATAACCAGAAGTTTGAAATGCTAATCATCCTAAACATCATAACTCAGTAAACAGTTAAGGCACAGGTCTTAACGGGAGGAAAAATCATGTGACCAGACATGCAACAAAATGTCTGGGCGAGTATCAGGCTAACAAGAAGATAAGATAATTGTACCTAAATGAAAATGATACAATGCAGAGTACGTACCTTAAAGTAAGACATGAGTAACTTTAAAAGAAAAACAAAAACCACCACACTTTAAAAAGCGCATGCTAGTGAGGTAAGTATGGAATTTGTTTACACGTTATTACCACCCTTAAACCGGTGCCACTGATTTTCAGTGAAAGAGACGNCCCCCCCGCCTCTTTTCTCTTTTAAAAGACTGCGTACGGACTGGGCCGAAATAGGATTTTTGGTTTGTTGTGTACGCAACTCAGAGTCTTTAACCTATATTCATTTTTTTATTGCAGATCCAGTATCCACGTGTGTATCCTGATGACAGGACGGATGTTAACATGTCACATGATATTAAAAATCACATTAGCTGGGGAAACAAAAAACTCCCGAAAAGTGTAAGGCGTCACAGTTTATTAAGTGTAATCAAATTCTTTGTTATTGGGCGGACAAGTCCAGGAATGGTTAGGTGGTGGACGTTTTCCGAGTGTTTGACCTGTTTTATCTCGCCTTGCGTGGCTGACTGGGAATCTTGTTGTTGTCTTGTTGTTTTATATTTTTCAGGAGGCTTTGAAAACTGTATCTGTATACATGGACGCACTTGTAAAGAGAAAAGGGTGAGAAACGAAAAGTTAGAATGATTAATACATTACAAGGTTGTAGAGTCAGTTATAATGGCAGGTTGGAGAAGGCAGAAAACCGTAAACGATTCATAATTTTTTTAAACATTTTTTTCATCCCAGGGACAGATTCTCTTTAAAGGAGATCGTCAATGTGGAAGCAAAAGATGATCCGAAAAAAGGAACCCGGTTTTTGTTAGAGTTGGTACGTTTGTGTGAAAAAACAAAACATTCCTCTTACGATAATACATACATACATACATACATATACATACATAAAACTTAATTCTATCTCAGATTTTGAATAGCCAAAAATAGGCTAGTATCTTCGAGAAAATTAAAATAAAAATAAAGAAAAACTATGTATATTGAATAAAATAATCATTGTATAACTCATGGTCCATCTTCAGTTCTTACCTTAGAGTCTAAATCAGTTATAATTAATCCACAACACTAGAGTCGAAAACTATTCTCTTATCTTTAACTACGGGAACGGATACTTCCTCTGATTGGATTGAAACTATTGCATTTTTCACCGCTAAAATGTTGGCATCGTTATTTTGTCAGGAACTTACGGACAAACAGAAAGGTACGTTTATATTTCAGTGTTTTGAGCAGTGACGTGATGAGTTAGTAGACCTACACGTAAATAGACATTAGTTATGCAACGCGTTCAACTGTTATACCATGGATTATAATCCATCAAATATTTTCGCTCGCGCGCGATTGGTCTAAACACGTCACGTGACCGAATATTCTCCAGCTTAAACTGGGGAATATCCGAGAATATTCCCCAATTTTCAAAACTGCACGCGTTGCGAAAAATATTTGAAGGATAATGAACACAATAGCCTCTATTTGGGGCGAAAAGACGCTCGGATATTTGTCCTTGGACATCATTTGCTCCT